TGTGTGTGTGTGTGTGTGTGTGTGTGTGTGTGTGTGTGTGTGTGTGTTCATCTCAATCAGGGTAATCTTGTTTGTACGGCTGTGTATTAGTCTTCCTTATTAATGGGCTTTTCTCCAAATCAGGATTGGAGAGTTAGCTGTCAGCAACCAACCAACCAACCCCCCCCCCCCCCCCCCCCCACACACACACACACGCACACACACACTCATGTGCACATACACACACAGACGTGCACGCTCAAGTCAATGCAGCAGGAAAAGCTGCTTCGCCCCACCCCCATGCATCTGAAATGAGCTCCAGTGGACAAATCTATCGCACAGATTAAACATGCTAAGCCACATTACCTAACTCTGACCTTCGACCCTCAGGTGTGTGAGGGTCGTCCTTCTTTATTTTACCAACAACTCCTCGGTTTGACTCGTTCCTTTTTGTCTGCTCTCTCATGTGTGCAGGAACTCCAGTGAACCGCATTCCCATCATGGCCAAGCAGGTGCTGGACTTGTACCGGCTGTATAAACTGGTGACGGAGAAGGGGGGGCTGGTGGAGGTGATCAACAAGAAGATTTGGAGGGAGATCACCAAAGGTCTCAATCTGCCCACCTCCATCACCAGCGCTGCCTTCACCCTCCGGACCCAGTAGGTCCCTCTGAGACGTTAAATAAACAAACGTCCTGAGACACTTTCATCAAGAAGAGTTAAAAGATAAAGATAAAATAACAGTTTTATAAATCCATCCATCCATCCATTATCTTTTACATGCCTCTTCCATTTTGGGTCATGGGGTTCGCCGGTGCCCATGTCCAGCAATCACTGTGCGAGGGGCGGGGTACAACCTGGACTGGTCTCCAGTCCATCACAGGGACACATCCAGACAACCAAGACAATCATTCAAACCTAGAGACAATTTAGAGTTACTAGTCAGTCTAACATGCATGTTTTTGGTCTGTGGGAGGAAACCAGAGCACCCGGAGAAAACCCACGCGTGCACGGAGAGAACATGCAAACTCCACCCAGAAAGGCCCCTGGACCAGGATTTGAACCAGGGACCTGCTTGCTGAGAGGCAGCAACTCTACCAGTTGCGCCACCGTGCTGTCGTTTTACAGATCTTAAGCTTAAATTTAGTCTGGTAGTAGCTGAGAGTTGTCTTTGTTGAATACTATGAAAGGTCTGAAATACTCTGAAAGGTAATAAATCTATAGCAGTGGGTGATATGCATTTTTTTTTAAGGAAAGCTAGGCTTTTAATTACCCTGGACGGGTCTCCAGTCCATCACAGGGACACAGAGAGACAAACAACCATTCACTCTCTCACTTATCCAAGGACATTTTAAGAGTTACCATCAGCCTAACATGCATGTTTTTGGTCTGTGGGAGGAAACTGGAGAAAACCCACACATGCATGATGAGAACATGCAAACTCCACCCAGAAAAGTCCTAGGCCGGGATTTGAACCAGCGACCTTCTCGCTGAAAGGCGGCAGCTCTACCAACTTAGCAGGACTTGATTTGAGCCAGATCCTGCCAGAACAGGTTCCAGGAACTCTTATTTTAACAGGGTAACAGGTAACTGTTTGCTTGGATCCGGTAACTCTCAGGCTTACTAATGATAAAGTTATGATTATGACTGCCTTGAATGAATAAAACCTATACTGGATATGTAAAGTGAAAATAATTACATAAACACTCATTTTAAACACAACAGCCTCTTACGAGCTGGGATGTGTGAGAGAAGCGGAGAGTGCTCTATTCACACAAGGAGCGCTGTTGGTCAGGCTATTCTTGTTGCTCTCTAAAATAGTTATTGAACCAAGTGTTTACTTTATGTAGGTAAACGCAGATGTTTAACAACCTGTTTAAAATACACCAGAAAACAGGAAATGGCATCTACTTTATTCAAAATTTTAAGCCACCGGGGGAAAAAACATCGAAATTTTAATTAAAACACAGAAAACATAAATTTTGTACAGTAGGCTGCTTTTAATCAGTCATGATAAAAAATAAAAAAAAGACACAAAAGCATGAATTAAGGACGCAAACACGACAAACGATCTACTGAGTACTGGGTACAGGTGTTATTATTCCAGACTAAGTTTAGATGTATTGAATATGATTAGTGTTTGTTGACAAGTGGCACCAGTCACAAAGAACAGCTGTCGCTGCGTTCACCGGCTGAACATCAGTTTATTAAAAGCTGTTAAAGCCTGCAGAACTGAACTGAAACAGAAAACTGTGTAAATATCTGCACACAACTAATGCCAACCTGGACCATGACACATTTTAAAATATAAATAACTTTAAAATGGGGCTCAAACATTAAACAAACTTAAACATGTTGCATAGTTTTTGTTTCACTGGAACCAGCTGTTGTGTTGTTCAGACGTGCACACTTTTCTGCAGGTATATGAAGTACTTGTACCCGTTTGAGTGTGACAAGAAAGCTCTGAGCTCTCCGGGTGAGCTGCAGGCGGCGATCGACAGCAACCGCAGAGAGGGTCGACGTCCCAGCTACACCAGCAGCCTTTACCGCTACTCTCCGTCCCCGAGCTCTGCTCCACACACACTCCTGTCCTCGCCTACGATGCAGACCGCCCCCATCGCACACAATGGCTTGAACACAGCGGCCAGTCCGAGTTTCAAAAGAAACTCAGGTGAGGCGCAGCACGACTCGAGGCTCTTTATGTTTTATATCGGGACATTTCCTGACAGGATGCTGTTGATGAGACATGCAGCTCATTATTTTACTGTTATATTCATGGTCATTTTCTATTTATCTCCTTTGAGTCCTAAAAGAAAAGCTGCTTTGGTGTTATGCAGGTTACAGGGTCGTGGTTTTAAGATAGTCATGCAACTTTTTATTTTTCAGTATAATGTCCTGTTTTTTTAACACTTGTCTCCTTTTTAAAAAATATTATCTTCCTGATCAGATGAGCCCTCCACCCCTGTGATGCCCAGGCTGCCTGTGGCTTTGGCTCTTGGCCAGCACCACCATCACCACCAGCAGCAGTTTGCACAAGCTGCCACGTTGGAGCATCTCAGAGAGAGGCTGGATCGAGCAGCAGGTGGAGCTGCGGTCGACGCTCCGGAAAGGAAAATGATGCGTCTCGCAGAGGAGCAGCAGCGGTTCATGCAGCAGGCCCTGCAGCAGAACCTGCTGGCGATGGCGTCTCACTTCAGCCCCGTGAACCTCAAACTGAACAACGGGCACGGTGAGTCCTTCAGCTGGGATCGTTCCTTAGAGGATAAAACAAGACCAGTTGCACCAGTCTGCAGTCACTCGTGCACATGCACTCTCTATTTATCAGTAATATATTCCAAGAAAATGACTTTCCATGAAGATGATCACTGCTTTGATCTTTCGTCTCTGTCCAGAGATGAGACGTCAGGATGTTTATCGTAGCTGGTTGTAGGCTTTTTAAACTTTTGACAAAAAGCTGAGGACCCAAGAAAATAAAAACTTGAAACTTTGTGTTTGATCAATCTAAGTTTGTCCTTTGAGCATCAAAAATAAATAATTTTTAATCCTACTACTGGATGTTTCTTCACTCTGAATCCATTGTAAGACAGGTGAGTTCATGTGTTCACTGTGATTAAAATGTTAAAGTCCAGTGTGTGTGTGTGTGTGTGTGTGTGTGTGTGTGTGTGTGTGTGTGTTGTGCACTCACACTCATGAAGCCTTGGGTCCTTTTCATTTCACACGGAGCTCAGATCTAGACTTTGTTGTCCAACTCTCTGCTCTCCAGTTTGCACGTATCGTATTTTTCAGACAATAAGGTGCACCAGATTATAAGGCGCATTAAGCGAAACTAAAACATTTTGACAGATTTTTGAGCGCCGTGTACCACATAAAATCAGTTTGAGGTCAGTAAGCACAATAAGGCACTCTGGATTATAAGGCTGACGGTTGATTTTTGAGAAAATTAAAGGATCTTAAGTGTGCCTTGTAGTCCGAAAAATAAAGTAGTCAGATTCAGAACCACATCTGTGTATTGGTCGGAGTGTAATGAGTGGCCTCTGCCTGGAACAGTGTTTTAAACACACCAGTCTACATTTCATACAAAGTAGATTTTATTTTATTATTTTCAGTTAAAAGTCCATTAATTGAAGTTTTTGTCTCGCAGAGAAAAAACAGGATTTGTCTCTGAGCATCTCTACGAACGGACCGGCCAGCATCAGCGTTTCTGTGGAGGTCAATGGTGTTGTTTATTCAGGTGAGTCCAGAAACCCCTGCTGATATAATAAAGGGATAGTTCAGTCTTTTTGATGAGAAAGATTAAAGCAGTTTTCTGCCATCTTAAAACGACTTCAACAGTTTATGCAGATGTTTAATAAACCATTACTTCACCATCAATTCACACGACTCATGTTTTCAGGCAGAACTGGGATATTCCTGCTGAAGTCCCTCAGGCTGCTCTGAAGGTGCTCCTTGCTGCTGATTATTATTTAATTGTACTTTATTAATCCCCATTAGGGAAATTATTTCTCCATTATTCCCATTGCACATGTGAGCGCACACACGGGAGGGGGGGGGGGGGGTGTTAAAGGGCTTGCTCATGAGCCTAGTGGGGCAGATGAGGGTGCAGGCAGGTGTAGGTTTCACCTTTTCCACCCACATTTTTTTGATGATGTTGGTCCTGGTAGTTGAACCGGCGACCTTTCGATCACAGGCCCACCCTCTCTAACCTCTGAACCACCACTTACCCTTTTATATTATATTAGATTATATTATATTGTATTATATTATATTATATTGTATTATATTTGTGCTTAAAAATAACTGTAGAGATTTTTATGTTAAAAAAGAAGAAGAAAAAAACTTTACTGGAAAAAGTGACAGCCATTTAGAGGTTTCTAAAGTTGTATTAAACTTCTGATTTTTTTTTTAGATCTAAGTTCTTTCAAGATGGCAGTGATCCACTTTTGTCTTGCCTAAATGCCAGTTTTAATGCTCAACTCAAATTTATTTTATTTTATTTTTTTTTAGCTTGAATTAGGGCCGCACCGATCGGCCGATTTATTGGCCCTGATTTCCTTAATTGTGGGAAATAGGAAATTGGCCGATACTTGCATGAGAAACCGATATATATATATATATATATATATATATATATATATATATATATATATAATTATTATTATTATTATTATTATTATTATTATTATTATTATTATTATTATTATTATTCTTTTTTTATTATTTTTAACAATTGTCTAAACTTCATTTATATTTCAGAGCACTACCATGGCCAGTTAAAACAGGTTTGTATTGTTTCTAGGATATTGTTCAAGGGCATGTTTTTCAATAAAATAATATTGGAAAATTGAAGGTGCATTGTGACCTTATAACACCTGACGGTGTCGCTTATAAAACAAAATCGGTATCGGCAGGTCAGACTTTTTAGAAATCAGTGATCGGCCAGAAAACTGCTATTGGTGCACCCCTAGCTTGAATCCAATTTATTCAAAAAAATGTTTGTGGTTCTTCACATTATAAATTAAATGTGACTGCCATCCGAGTACAGTGTAAACACTGGATGGCCCTGATGTGACCCGCACGTGTAAAAGACGTGACGTCACGCAGCACGCTGTTTACAGAAGTACCGTAATTTTCGCTGTATAAGTTACAGTTTTTTGCATAAACTAGCATGACCTGCGACTTGTACTGCAAAGTGACTTATTTGTTTGTTACCATATTCATAACCCAATTTTTGTCTGAGATCTTTATTCATTCATTCTGACATGGAAAGTATTGAACACTACAATTTTTAGCCACTAGAGGGCGCTCAAGTAATATGGCAAGCCAAGTGTCTCATTAATTGGTAAAAGTGGTTATTAATGAGACACTTGGCTTGCCATACAAAGTCACCTTCGTCTCGCTCCAGAACTTCAGGAGCAAACGTCAAATCTGATTTGACCATTAAAATGCATTTATTAAGGAAAAGTTCAACTGAGACACACCTATTTATATAACTTAGAGCAAACAAATAATTATTTTTAAGTGTTAATCTTGTTAAATTCTTGCTAAAGTCCTCCCGTGCACGCTCCTCCGGCCGCCATTTGGCAGCCAATCGATTTTGGCACAACACCGGCCCACATTTCCAGGTTGTCAGCGATGACGCATAATACACGCGACGTATACGGCAAAGCAACGTATTTATGGATTTTTCCACTTTATTAGACCTATATGGACTGATGCGACGTTTACGGCGGCAATTACGGAAAGTATGGATGCTTCACATGTCAGCGTGTGTATGAATTCTGAAGTTGTGCCATCATAACTAAAATGGTAAAAGTGAAACTGTCAAAGATTGATCTGGTTACATTTGTATTGATACGGTCCAACACCAACATTTGGATCACGGTTGCTGTAGATTTTGTCATCCAGGACATGTTGTTAAAAAATAAATTAAAAAACTGCACAAGGTTTGTGTCAGTACTACCAATACGCCCTACCTCGAAGTAAAAGTGACATGAGCATTTGGATGGAGGTCTCAGATAAATATCTGATGTGTATCTGCTTTAGTACTACATATTAAAAAAAAACTGTCTTGGAATTAAGAAAATTACTTTCTCATGTTCATACTGTTATAAAAAGTTTATGGGTCACATTTGGGCCACTTTAGCCTGAAGTGTGAACATAGTCTAAGACTATCCATAATCTCCTGAACCTCATCCATCCATCCATCCATCCGTCCATTTTCTTTACCCGCTTGTTCCATTTTGGGTCACGGGGGTCGCTGGTGCCCATGTCCAGCAATCACTGTGCGAGGGGCGGGGTACACCCTGGACGGGTCGCATGTCCATCACAGGGACACATAGAGACAAACGAGACAAACAACCATTCACTCTCTCACTCACACCTAGGGACAATTTAGAGTTACCAATCAGCCTAACATGCATGTTTTTGGTCTGTGGGAGGAAACCAGAGTACCCGGAGAAAACCCACGCATGCACGGAGAGAACATGCAAACTCCACCCAGAAGGCCCCTGGACCGGGGTTTGAACCAGGGACCTGCTATCTCCTGAACCTGTTGAATGTAATTATTAAATATTCACTTTGCTATGAGCATGAATTTCTCAGATTTTCTATGATTTCTGTGCTGCAGGAACGCTCGTAGCTCAGAAGCCAGCGGCTCCGGTCTCGTCTCAGACTGTAACTCCTGCAGGGACAAGCGGTTTCAGCGCACTCTCCTCCCACAGCCCATCGTCTACATCTTCCACGTCCTCAAAGGGACCAAATTAAAGCTTTTAAAACTGTGGAGTCAAAACAAAAATACATGCTAAACTTTGTTTCTCTTCTCAGAAATGAAATGTTTAAACTTCAGGGAAAACCTACACTGCAGGAAGCCATCATAATTTCTTCTCAGTATTGTCCTTGTCTTTTGAAATGTCCTCGTCTAACTCAGGCCAGTTGACTCTAGTGCCTGTTAGATTGATCGTCTATACAAACGCATCATCATCTGAAAGACTTTACAAGGACTGTTCCCGAGTGTCTTCAGAGCAGAAGACATGATGAAAATCCACAGTAGACCTCACTCATGAATCGTTTATCAAGTAGTTCAAGTTTGTTTTAGTTGGCAAGAGTAGAAGAATTTAGTTGTCAGCGTGCAGCTAATGAAGACCAAACGCCTTAGCTCAGAGTTGTAGCTCCTGAACTGAAGCCCATTTTGTGTTGTTATACTGTGGGAACCATTTTTGATTATTTGGTTTAATTGTGTATTTTTCATAGATTTCAGGGAATATGCACACTGTTAGTTTTCATAAAAACTTAGAAGTTAAAACAACAATGTAGGCATATATATATATATATATATATATATATATATATATATATATATATATATATATTATAGTTCTTTATTTTATTTAATCATTTGGATTTAATTCTTTAGCTGTGAAAGTTAGACAATGTTTGTGCAGGGAATTATATCAAACTGATGCAACGTTTACCTCATTTGACTTCCCATGTTGGTAAGTTTCTTGGACCTTTCTGTATCTCTAATATATTGCTGTTATATTTGTATAAATGCAGAGACTGTATTGGTAATGACCTCCAAATGAACACTGACACATGGCTACCTCATTCCACTTAAATATGCAATTCTGAATGCAGCATATGTTCATTTAGACATGTGCTAAAATAATCTGTATGTGGACAATCAAATAGACATATCTTTACAAAAAAAAAATCATTAAAAACAAATAGGCCACTGTGAATCTGCCTGCTTTTAAAATACGTTAATGTTGAACTCTGCTGGAGTTGCAGTTTTTTTTCTGGGCGTGAAGCCGTGAGAAGTAAATGAATCGTGAAGAATGCTGCTTGTGAAAGCACAACATGGTGACTGTAATAAAGACACATATCTACTGGATTTTTGTCAAATCACATTTAATCAGCTCTTTCACAACAAGCTGCCAAAGCCAGAGCATCTGAACCGACCGTTTCAAAACCTCCTAAAAAGGTTTTCAAAGACTCTTCACCTTTCTGTTCAGCCCAAAAGAACCATGAAAACATGCTAAATTAAAGATCTCCCAAAGCCTTTTATGCCATTATTAAACTTAAGATACAGCAGTCCCTCGCTACTTCACAGTTTTGTGCAACCCATACTGCAGGATAAACTTCCTGCTGCAGCAGATCAGCTGTTGTGCAGAGCTCAGAAGTGGGCGTGTCCAAGAGCGCTTGCAGGTGGCAAAGAGCAGAGGAGGCAGGGAGCTGAAATCATGACATGCACTCAGAGTTTAGAATATTACAAGTGTGGGATGGGTTTAAAATGCCATATATATACTAAAACTACTACTTACTACTGGATTTGGTACCTGGATGATTGAGCATGAATTTTATTACTGGTACTACTATTCCTACTTCACGGTTTTTCACTTATCTTGGGTCTTCAGGGTCCGGATCCCCTGCGATAAACGAGGTCGAACCTTCAAAATAACGTGCAACGCCACAAGACCTTATTCAATGTGTTGGCGCTTGGGGCTACACCAAATTTTAGCTCAAAGTCTTTGTTGGCTAATGTTAGTTAGCTGTGGTAGCCATGTTGAGTTCAAAAGTTGATCTATGTGCAATGACCTCTTTGACATTTTCTGTAAGTTTTACTGAAATAAGCAAACGAGCAATGCCACAGATTTGCACGAGAATTTCTCACAAAGTGTAGCGCTCTGAGTATTTGCTGGGGATGCTGCTCAACTACTACCACTCCACATTAGGTGAATATCTGTATAATGTGAGTTATAGCCATTTGCTAATGCCATCTTGATCTGAAGTGTCTCCAGCTGTAAAACGTCAGAATTACAGAAGAACAGCTGAGGTTAGAGTGTAGGTTAGAAGCTAAAGTATAAATTCTGTTCATCTGCACACTGTAGATGTTTACTGTGTCTGAGCTCACAAAACACCCAATTATTTGTGGTTCTACAGTAGATGCTTTGTTTTGCCTCTCTAGGGAGGTGTTCTGGGCAGGTCCAACTGGGAGGGGACGACCCAGGACATACAGAGCCACTAGCTGTTGCATGTAGCTCTCACCTCCAGTCTGTCAGCTGGCCTGGGAACACCTTGAAGTCTTCCCATATGGAATCTGTTAATAAAGATGTCTAGACGTCCCTACTCGAGCTACAGCCCCGGCAGCCTGACTCCATAACAAGTGGAGGATGGACCGTTTTAATTTATCTCTCAAAATGTCTTTTAACCCTGGTTTTGAAGGCCATTGTTGACTCCGAAGATGTAAATTAACTTATCAGAAGTTCCTAAAAGCCACGAGAAAGTTTTCTGGACTTCTGAAGACCATTTAAAGGCACAGTTAATGTTCGTACACTTCAGGCCCACTTGTTTTGTGATGCAGTAAATAAAGAGGATAGTCACAGTGAAGTGGTTATTTAGTATTTGCTATATTAACATCCTGAGAAAAGCGGTTAATTAGCATAAATTTTTTTAAATGGACTAATTCACAACTTTTTTCCTCTAAAGCCCTGCATTTTAAAATCAGTTTCATTATGATTCAAATTTCAACTTAAACCAAAGCAGTGAGAACCAATGAAACATCCGATCCAGTTTGCCATGCCAAAAATCTACAGCTTACACGAGTAGTTTTAGTTGAGCATTAACTCTGTCGTCCTTCGGCTCTGCCACAGGAGGGGGGAGCTCCTGGATGAGGGGATGAGGGTGGGGGATGGGTTGGAGGATTTACTGCCATGATAGTTATCCTGTAGTGACAGTTCTAGATGGCTTCTGGGATGCAGCAGGACAGAGATGCTACAGAGGTATTATGAGCGGGCGATTTCCACAATCCCCACCCACCAGGGAGGAGTGATGCTGCTGGTCACATCACTCTGCAAATGAGGACATCACTGTTCTCTGATGAGGACTGGAATAAACAACATGTGGGGCGTTTGAATGGGATTTTAAATTCTGCAGCAGCTGAGAACTGCCTGTAACTTTGGAAGATTCAGCCTACAAGCAAAATGGTTCATAAGAAATTTGTGGACATTATGTGATAAGAAGATTTTTTTTTTCTTCTCGTTTTTGTCTCGTTCGTTTTAAAACAATGGTTTTCATTCTTCTTCTAAAACTGGCAAATTTCAAGAAGAAAACTTCAAGAAAGAAAGTCAAAATGTAATTTCAAAATTGAGGCAAGCAATGCTCCTTCTCAGGACGTCTGGACTTTTACTTCTGGATGTTTGTGAGCCGGCTGGGACAAGTCCTTTGCATACTTTTGGCGCCATGCCTTACCATGATGAGGAGTACCCAGGTCAGCCTCTCTGGCAGTCCGTGCTGCTTTTCTGCTGCAAAGGCATGATCGAAGGCATCATGGTCATCCTCTTCTTCTGGCTCCTGGTGCAGGTCCTCTTCACCAAACAGTTAGAAGGTATGTGCTCAAAGGTTAGCGTGACAGGCCTGTTTTAAAGGTAGAATAAGATCAGGTGAATTTTATTTCAAGAGGCCTCAGTCAGGAAAAAATGTACATGACTGACACTGAAATTTGTCCAAATAAGGAAAAAATATATATATTAACATTTCAGTTGAGGTCTGATATGCTCATGTCAAAACATAATTCAAGGTTTATTACAAGTGATAATTTTTCTTTACTTTCGACCAGTGAAAACCCACTGAGCAGATAAAATGTCAACGTTAAAACTGATATTAATTGGTCTAAAAAAGTTTTGTAAATGTTTAAATTACAGTAAGATGCTTTTTCATCATTAGCACTATGGCTTCACTTTTAATTGGATTTGTATTTATGACTAGTAATCAGTGTTTATGTGCTAACTTTTACTTTTAGAACCAGCTTAGCCTTGTCATCTTAACAGATGTGAACGAAGCGTCTATTTTTATTTTGAAAGGTTTTGGACATTTTCACAAAATCGCTGCCCGACATGACTCACTTGAAATTCTGCAGTTTTAGCTAAATGATGTGCAAATGTCATTCTATTAAGATAGCAGCCTCCAGGAGGGTTTTATTGCTTTTCTTTAGTTTTATTTGCATGAACTTCACTTTTTTCCAGAGCTGGAAAACTGTTTCAGCTGCAGGAAACAAACAGGAAGTTATTATGCAGGTTAGCAATCATTTCAGCTTCCGTTTATGACACGTTGGTCATAGATTGGGGATTTTGAAACTCGTCTATTTTAATCATAGGTCCCCGCAGGTTCAAGGCCAGTGCACAGGATTTATCCCGTAATATTTTCACAGTGAACACAATCCGTTTAATGGCAGGTTTACACCTGTCTAACACAATATAGACCTATTATTAGCAGGACTGTTTCACCTTCTGAGGGTTTATGTATCAAGACATTGTTTCTTCACCAGATTTTAAATTTAGTAAAAGCAGAAAAAAAAACTCATAACATCTTATGCTGGGTTATTTATCAAAGAGCCAAAATGCTCAAGTAATACATGAAAAACAACTTATTGAAAATAACTTAAAATAACTTATTTAATTGTTTCTTGTGTGACCTAATCAGCCCCATGAAGGACGTTTTGTCCTAAAAGCTGCTTTAAGATGCTAATCTGAAGCCGAGGTCTGGGCAGTGACTGAACATCTGGAACACGTTGGATTTTCTTTTTAGCCTCTCTGTTGCAGATTAGCTTCTAGGTCATTGTCCAGATGTACTGATCGTCAAACCGATGGCCTCATGTTTGACTTTTAGTTTGTGTCCAATATATTTTCAAACACGGCTAGAAATTTTAAAAGCTCCTGGGTTTTTCACCGTTACTTTGAGCCCCTCCTCCTCCGACCTTGGGGTCAACATGCTGGGACATCCAGTTGTGAGACGATTAGCATCCGTCTGCTACTTGTGAAAACTTTCACACGATAGTGTCATGCAACGTTATCTGCAGTGATGGCGGGAAAATGTAGAGTACGGTGTAAGGCAGCTTTCAAAAACATTAGTATTTAAACATGGTAGAGCAGGCTCCAGAAACAGGCAGGTGATTTAAACCATGGTGACTTGTTTTAACCAAAGCGAAAAGAGTTGTCCAGACTGAAAATCCAAGGAGAAACTCAGCAGGGCTCAAAGTAGAACGCACGACAAAGTGTTTAATATGAACAAACACCTTTGACACAGAGGGAGAAAAAGTATCGCAGGGTGGGTGTGAAACAGAAAACTTGAAGCAGGTGTGATGAGAGACGACAAGTTTGAAATAAAGTTAGGAAGCACTTAGTTTTTATATGACTTTTACATTTTGATTTAGTTTTTGATTTAAAAAATGGAGGCTTTAATGTCTCAAGTTGTCCTTGCTATATTAAATAAAATTTAAGAACTGCTAAGAACCTGTAAGGTCCAGTACAGGGGACTTGATAACTCAACCAAGCACAGAAGACGTGTTTAAAAGATTTATTAAGGACTTGGTGGGAGCCACAGACTGGTCACACAAACACTCTTTTAGACGATTCCGCTGCTCAGCATCTCAACGTGTGAACCTTGGAATCATCACAGGAAGTTTCCAGGAAGGTTTTTCTGCACAACTTGCCCAATGACAAATCCTGACCGATGGGCGAAGACGTGGTAAGAAGGCAGGCGAGGGTCAGAAACACAGAGGCAGACAGTGAGGTGATCAGGCATGGAGCAGTCTGAGGGCAAAGGTCAAAATCTGTGTCCGTGGTCCATGTCCAGAAAGCAGAGAAGTGTAGAGTCTGACAGGGCGAAGCAGAGCAACCCAATCCAGAGAGAAGCACGGTCATAACCAGGAGATAGAAAGTTGACAAAGACGTAATGCTGGATGTCTACACACAGAACTGCTGTTGATAATCTGGCCAGGTGTCTGTGACTGGAGGGAGCTTAAATAGAGCAGAACACAGGTGAGAGGCAGCAGAGCAACCAGCAGGTGCTGGTGGACAAACTGATTACTGCCTGACACGTGAAGGGAAGTCAGAGAGGATCATCACTGTATGGAAACATACAGTGATGAAATTAGTTCTCTGCATTTAACCCATCACACGTGAGATACACCAGGTGGAGCAGTGGGCAGCTATAGGCACCCGGGGAGCAGTTAGGGATGAGGTGTCTTGCTCAGACACCATGACGTGGGAATGGCTGGGAGTCGAACCACAACTTTCTGGTCCCAGGTCAGCTGCCCTGCCTCTACTCCTTCTTGGCCCCATGTGAGCAGGAATCAAAACAAACAAACAGCCTGAAGCGTTACAGAAACTCAGGGCATTTTCTTATTTTGTTGCTCCCTGATTTGTAAACCTTTAGACATGAAATGTGTACTGCATTTTTACCATGACTGGCAGCTAATAAAACAAAGCTCTAAAGAGTTCCTCTCTATTTCTACAGTCCATCTTCAGATCCTTCTTCTGGTTGGCCTCATCATCTTTTGCCTCACTTTGATCCTGGGATGTATTATCTGCTGGAAAAACAGCCAGATTTGTTCAGGAGAAGACAAGGCCTCCGTCACATCAGCCGAGGCTTCTGGTGAGCCCGTAACCTCTGCTCAGAATCTGCATTCTTCAGAAACAACCACTGCATCCAGGCAGCTGTACAGGGAGCTGGATGGAGACACGTTGGAGTACCCCTCCGCATTTACCAGCCTGACCCCTTCTCAGGATGAATCTCTCCCTCGGCAGTTTGATGATCAGGCTCAGGTCAACTGTGAAGAAAATGAACAGGCGACATCGTATTTTTCCCTTCGCCGCTTCAGCTCACCTCTGCAAATGGCGCCTCTTTATGAACCCATGCACCCCAGTCGTGCTTCCCTGCCTTCGATGCCCAAACCAGAACTGTTGATCAAGACGTGTAAAGCTTTGGAGAGGCGGTGCACTGTCGCTGGAGACAGCAGATCCTGCAGTGAACACAGCAGACTCACCAGGCACGTGTTTAACACCACAGTGATGCCTGAAAATGAAATTCCACTGGTTCCACTGAACTATGGATCCAACGCAAACTTCAAACAACCATTTTCATCTAAACCCTGCCTCCATTTTACTATGGTCTTCTCTCCAGAGCAGCAGACTTTAGCAGTCACCATCTTAAACCTCACTGGGGCGCCTCAGAGACTCGAGGATGTGACTGTGCTGGGCAGTCTGCCACCTTTGCACACCGGTCCGACCCCGGCGACATTTCGGAGCCATGAATCCGACAGCTTGATGCTGTTTGTGAGTGTGAGCTCTGTGCAGGAGCTCCAGAGCTGTGAACTTAGATTATCTGTATACAAGCGGAGCAGTCAAAGTGCAAAAGGCACGGCTCTGGGTGAAGTAGAGGTCAAATGTGGAGGAAGAGCCTGGAGACCAGAGCATCCGTTTCATCTCGTTAAAGAGCTCGTCCCCAACAGCCTGAATGTTGAAGAGGTGTCTGTGAGCATGAGTTGATGTTTGGAATGACATGCTGATATGTAGATGTCATTTTCTTCTGCTTCTTCCATCAGTGCACATTATTTCCATCAATAAATAGACCAGTGGTCGACTATACTTCCTGAAAGCAGATTTTTTTTTCACCCATCAATGGAGCAAATGTCAACATGATGCATGTCTAAACCATAATGTTTGCTTTAAAAACAAACAAAAAAACAAGAGTAACATGTAGCAGGGAGACTCCATTGGTAACGTAAATTTTATTTTTCTTTCCTTGTTTTCAACCATTCACTACTTTATATGTTTCTTGTTAGTTGATTAGGTTTCAACACTGAAATCTATTTTTTTGTTGCTCAGGAGTCCCAAATTAGCCCAGATGCTCTTTTATTGGCTGATACAAACAAGACATCCCTGAGATTAATCTGTACCAGAAGGCACACAAGGTCCTGCACTTAAAATAATCTTGACTGTTTAAGGTCTTTTTTAAGTATTCAAAGTTAATGAGTGTGCTAATGCATTAGCATTGAAGACATCCTGATTCATGCTCAATAATCCAGGTTTAAAAATCCAACAGTGGTCTTTCATCATTTATAAGACTGAGTTTGTTGCAGCTCCTCGGACTGATCACGTCTTTTGGAAGAAAGAAGAAACGTTTCAACAAAAAGAAACCACCCAGATGACCTGACTTAACTTTGTTGGATTAGCACGGAAGCAACATTTGTATTCTTCTATTTCTGATTTTTGTTTTCACTTTAAAATAAACTTGTTGAACATACAAACATGTATGAATTATGCTCCAGAACACCAGAACATAGACATCTTTAGTTGGCTTTCACCCAGTGTGTCTCTCACTGCTACAACTTGTAGTTTTCATTCAAATCCCCTCAGAAAAGCACACACCTGTGCTACCACAGATTTAAGTTATTATTTAGCTCAAGTCTTTTCCAAACTGGGAGTAAAGAGTCTCATGAACTTGTCATACCTCTTTTATAAAACGCTGTGGCATCCTAAAAATAATGCAAGAGTCACCTGCTGCTCAAGCGACCATTTGTTTGAGGCTCACTTTTTGGTCAGCATTTTTGGCTACCTCGCAAGAGTGCTATCAGGGAGTGACAGAGGTGTGTGGTTACCATGGTGACTAATGAGTTGCGTTTGCTCTTTGTTCTCTTTGCACATCTACAGTTCATGTATCAAACTGCGGGCATTTTCTTTGCTTAGATTATTACAAAATTTGGGCAGCAGCCACATCAGCTATTATCAAAATATCAATCAAAAGGATATTATTGTCCATGTCTCGTTTCGTTCAGCTTCATTCACACCTGACAGCAGTTTGTAATCAGGTCACGTGTCGTTCATTCAGTCGTCATGTTTCCAGCCCTTATCTTATGCTGCAGGTTTATTTAGCTCGCTGTTGTTTCATCGGTGGTTTTGTTTTTATGGTTTCCTTGCTTGTCTGTTTTCTGTTGAAGATTCTAGTTTGCTCCTGACCTGGTCACCTTCATTCCTATGACTTCTTCTGGCTTCCACACCGTCATGCCAGACCGAAAGCAAACGATTGTTGTTAGACTTCATTTGAGCTTTATAGTTTTTATTTTATTTATTTGTTTTTGTTGGTTCAACACGTGGCCTGAAATGTTCTGACATACTTGGCAAAATTAAAAAGTGGCTACACGCTAATTTTTTTAACCATGATTTTTATTTTTCATTATGCAATCCACAGGTTCGTGTTGTATTTCTTGTTGGCTCCCTTTCTGCCCTTTGAACTTTCACCCAGTCCCTGCAGAGTTGGAGCTCCCAGGATGCACTGCTGCTCATTGGGCTTCAGCAGGGCTCTGAACATAAGCATAAGAGCCAGCATCCTCAAAGCTGAGAACATGGACACCCTCCCTCACATAGCATCATCATCATCATCATCTGGAGCAGGTCAAACAAATATAAAGTCCCTTAAATGCACAAACACTCTGTCTGCACATAAATGAACTGTGTGCAGGCAAACTATGTTCTGCTCTTCCGGGGCAGAGGTAAAACAATTCCCTATGTTTGCTTTTAATATTTAGAGGATTAAGTGATAGAGGCTGAGTGCAGCACGAGACCGTCCCTTGTTATAATGATATTGTAGTTTAATCCGTCTCTGTTTACAGTCCTCAGGAAATGTTTCCAATCTCCACGCATGGGAACTATGATCTCGTTATTTGTGTTTGCATTTGAGCCAGTGGTGTAGTCTACATTTTTGTAGTGGGTGTACTGTGCCTAGAAATCAAATTTATTTAGATTTTTAACTAAGCATATTGAACATTTCCAAAATTCTCTGATACTTATATTTGAATAAATGTACAACAAAATGTACAACAAACTGTACGACAGTTGGTTTTATATTAAAAACATGTTACAAAATGTATAAAACAGTATCAAAGCAAAACATGTTCAAGTATTAAGTAGTAAGTATAGAAATATTAATTATGCAATAAACCGCTGCATAAGCGAATGTAATAAACAGGCACTGCATACAGATAGATTGTTACACAAGTGTTTAGTTGCTGTTTAACATATCAATGACATGTGTCTAATGATATGTCATGTATCAGTGGGCACTTTTAAGTGGGTATACTGGAATTATTAAGATTTTCTAGTGGATGTACTCTGTATGCCTGCGTATCACGGAGACTACACCACTGATTTGAGCATCTAACGTTGAGCCTGCATATAGAAATATTGAGATTTATTTTCTTAATACAGTATGTCTATTAGGTAATAGCTAAATATAAATCATTTTATTAAATAAAAAAAGAGAAAATTTTGAGCCGCTATAGGTCGAGTAAAGTAACAAACTTTGACATAATCCTTTGCTTCTCATAAAAGTGAAAGTTTTATTGTATTTTCGCTCAGCTTTATTGAATAGACAGAAGTTTTAAATGATCAAATTGGAAAATTAAACCTGACACATATTTGAAACAAAAGGCTCAACTTGTGTGGAAACATGCTTTTATTCCGTTGGTTGTTTTTTGTCATTTTGCTAAACGCATGCGGTTATAAAATAAAACATTTTTGCTTCCTGGCAAAGATGATATACTTCTGTCTTTTTGCAAAATAGCCAACGAACCAATTTGATAGATTTTTAGTGAAACTTTCAAAAACTAATGATTGATTTTATATGAACTGTTCACCCATTTGAGTCAATCAAATTCAAGATGGCTGCCACAGATAATCAAACTTAGCAAACACAAAAATGGCTCAGTCAATTTCACAAAGGTAAAATTTGGTGTGCAACCAGCTGAGTCGTCTTCAACACATGCTCCAGCGCTAAGGCCACATGAGCTCATGCATAAAGTCATTTACAAGGTTTGACCAGAACTTTGGATTTTAATCTCTGATATGAAAGCTGATGGGTGATATGCATTCCTTCAGAGAATGCTAGTTGAATATTTAATTTCAGTTATGGTGAAAAATGTCACAAACCTTTGAAATCATGTGTTCCTGTGCAAAGATTACCAGGTGGTGATCAACCTGCACCACGAGGGAGTTTTAATCAGCAGCAGAGAAACTCCACGAGAGTCCTGCTGTCACGCTCAGCAGCCCCCGCTGCCCCCCCATCTGCCTAAGCCTCTGCTCCTCATATCACAGCCCCTGTTTTAAGATCATTCACATTTTTTCCTGCCTCAGTTTCTGTTTATTTCATCCTGTTTGGTCCTGCACTGCCTATCACCCATTTTCTGCTCCTGTCACTCTCTCTCAGCAATCTGCACTCATCTGTTGCACCCTGTCTCTGCAATCACCACCCACCTGCCACACCTGCTCACTATTTAAGCTCCCTGTTTCTCTTCAGTCGGTGCCAGATAATTATAGGTTCTTCCCATAGATATCCAGCGCTCCCTCTTCATGTCACAGTATTCGACCATAGTTTTGCCCACGACCTCTCGTTCTCGCCTTTGCCCCCGTACTGGATTCCTCGCCTATATCTGACCATATTGACGACTGTTTTTGCTCCTTGACCACGATTTTTGGATTCTCCTTTTGGTTCTTATGCCTGGCTGCATTCCTCTCTGGTTTTGACCCTTGCCTGCCCCTGGATAAAGTTCTGCTGCCAAAACTCCTCAGCTTCACAGCTCGCCCATCCAGCCTCACTACTTGTTGGTGCTCACGCTGCGCGCTGCTGCTCTGTGCGCCCTTGCGCATGTTACTGGCTCCTGAGATTCGGACCGGTACCGGGACCCACCTGGCCCACATCTCAGACTGGTTCCAGAGACAGAAGAGCGGTCCGATACCAGTACCTGAACCAGAACCTCCTGCCAGACGCCACCGGTTTTAAAAAATAAACTTTTTAAACCTTTTTCTGAGTCTGTGCTTGTCCGATCCACCCCAATTCGTGACAGAATTATCTGGCCAAAATATGGATCCAGCACAAACTCGGAGGTGGCGTTCTGGTAAGTTGGAGAACCAATTCACAGGCACCCGTCTGGCAATAAATCCGGGCGGTTTTCCTCAGGCTCAGCCTGTCCTGTCGGGTGAGGCGGAGAAGAGAGAAGCCCAGCGTTGGGCTCTCCGCCTCATGAACAGGCCCAAGTTCCCGTTCCCCTTTTGTGATCAGGAGGACGAGTTGGACGAAGACGAGGATTTGTGGTTTCCTCCCTGCCAGGTCCCTCGCCCTCAGAAGAGCCGTAGGCGCACAATGTACCGGTCCTCCCGATGTCCTACCCCTCCGCCTTCAGAGCCCTTGCCCCAAACGTTTCCAGCTGTCCCACAGACTCCGAGACCAGCTGCCGTGGTCTCACAGAGTCCGAGACCAACTGCCGTGGTCTCACAGAGTCCGAGGCCAGCTGCCGTGGTCTCACAGAGTCCGAGGCCAGCTGCCGT